CCCCCCCCTTCTCTCTCCCTCCTTTTGAAACACTAGAAAGTAGTCGCATAATTACAGCTTGGGGACATAACACTTTCATCCTGATATGCTCCAAAGGTAGCCACAAAGCAAACTACTCCATGCTGTGTGCACCACCAGAACTCAGTGGCTTTAAACAACAGTCAGCTTTATTAAAAACTCCTCTGTTCCCAGAGTGGACAAACAAAAGAATTACTCAGATGTGAAAAGAAGGGGAATCTGTGTTCAGCAAGGTTATTTATTGTTAACCCCTTCTGGAGTCTGAGGCGTCTACTTAAAAGGAATGTGCTGAAATTCTGCTGCTATAAAGAAGGAATGGGAAACCCTTCTTTTTGTTTTTTCTCTTTCTCTCCCTCCCCCTCACGCTTTTTTTTTTTTTTTTTTTTGCCTAGCCCAGTGTTTACTTTTCTGTAATTTAGAGAATGAATTTTTGAGTCTCTGAAGGAAGTTTTCCTTCCCCTATTTGGACTTTTGGTGAGGTGCTAGGTAGAGATTCAGTCTTACTTGGGAGGTACAAAGGTCTCCCTTTGCCTTTGAGCTTATTTGAGCTTATTTCAGTTACTCTGAAATGTTTGAGCAAAATCACAGATGCAGTAGGGTTTCCTCCTCACATGCCACTTTGTGGTTACAACTGACAGAGTACACAAGGAGTGGAGTTTTTGCTGGTTTCCACGCACATCTCTCCCTGGGGGGGTTGTATTACCCAGGTAACCCTCCGAATTCAGGGGATGGAGTTTTTGCCAAGCCTGATGCTTGATGTTTGTCCAACACGTGAGCTGCTGGAGGAGGCTGGTGTGGCTCTGCCTCCCCGCCGCTCTGTGGCCCTCTCCGGCTTTGTCTCGCTCGGGGTCGAGCAACCCTTTGCGCACTTGATGCTTGCTTTGCTTTTCGCTCCTGAAGTTTTGGGTGATTTTGACTTGGAACCACACCAAACCTCAGAGGGAAACTCAGTAAAGCCACCTGGTTTCACCTGCTTTCCTAACAAAAGCAGAAGGGCACAGAGTTTGCTTTGGGAAGGATTCAGGGTCCTTTGAAGGGGCTTTCATGGCGCTTTGGGTGGAGGAGAGTGTGGCGGGTACGTGTCTTACCTGTGGGCACCCCTTCCTTCTGTCCCCTCGCTGAGCAGGAGGTGGTGTGGGGAGGCGGTAGCACTCTGGGCAGCCTTTGGAGAAAGTCCCGTCCGCACCAAGGTCATCGCTGCCACGCATGAACTGCACTCTCCTCTCCCTTTGAAAACTGCCCGGCTGCGTTTTCAAAAATAATAATTTTAAAAAAACTACAAAAATCCAGGCTGGCAGCAGCATCAGACCCAGAAAGCCAGCAAGCAAGACTTTGAAATTAGGGCAGCAGTAACAAAAGATCTCTGCCATAAAGGCCGAGTAGCACACGCTTTATCGGTCTGTGTATGTAGCCGCT